GCAACGCAGCATTCACTATAATCGGATAAGGGCTTCATCTCAACTGTTCTACCTGGGGTTCTAGCAATGCAAGGAAAACATACCTGAGCCCTTCGGGTAAGGGCTTCATCTCCACCTTCGGGGCGTTCTCTAAACTCCAATCAGCTTTATTCAGTTTTCCCGTATGAAGTGATGGCTCTCTGGGCTCTAAAACGTCTTTATTAGTCGTCGTGGAGGGTTCGAAGACGTTCGTAGAAGAATCGGGTACGTCGATGTGAAAAACGTCCGATTTGCCCAGAGACTGGATCCGGTCCGATTCCAGGTGGAATCGGTCCAGATCGACCTTCTGTAAAAATCCGTCTTCGGAGGCAGTTTGGATCCGGTCCGTTTCCAGGTGGAATCGGTCCGGATCCAGCTTCTGTAAAACTCTAATTTCGTCCGATCCTTCGTTCGGAGGCAGTCTGTAAAACTCTAATTTCGTCCGGATCCGGCTTCCTCTGCATGCACCTTAGGTGTCTCGGATGTCGTCCCTTCCTCTACAGCAGTGGTAGGGATCATCTCAGGCAAGTTCTTTCCGCTCCTTAGCTCAATGGCGTTGATGTGCTCTCGTGGATTTGGTTCCGGCTTTCCAGGAAAACGTGCCTTGCGGTCTAGAAGGTTGTGACGCAAGCTGTGTTATCTGCGTATCTACGAGCTTCATGTGTGCGTCCATCCCATCAAGTCTCCTCTCAAAGGTGTCTTGCCTAGCTCTAATGCTCTGCACCTCGGTTTTCAGATCAGTAAACGACGTCTTTTGGTCGAGCATTAGCTGGGCAAGCATCGTCTTGATGTCTGCTTCTTCATTCTTTGCCGGTGGAGGAGCTCGGTAACCCTGATTCTGCTGCCCGTATCCTGGATTCTATTGCACATATCCCTGATTCTGCCCCTGAAAACGTGACTGAGTGAAGCCCCGGGGGTTCTGAGGGATTCTGGAAACACCTTGCTGCTGCACATTCAATGCTCCGCTCGGGTTTCCGTAGGAGAAACCAGGATGGTTCCTAGGCGCGTTCGGGTTGTAGAGATTGGAAGGATTCTGGTATTGATTCCTTCCCACGTAGTTGACGTCCTCAACCGGTTCTTCCTCTGATGTGGCCTGATCTACCAAGAACATTCCAGGCTGGACCTTCGACGGGTTAGACGTATTCTTGAGTCCCATGTGCTACTTGATTGTCGATAGATCTGACATGACTGCTTTCAAGGCTGCGGACTCGACCAAATCTACCCGTCCCGTAGAGCGTCTGATG